CGTTTCTCCTCAATTTGCTATCCAATACATGGAGATTCATACTTGAATGTGTAAAGTGATCCCCATTGGGATGTGTTGCATTGGAGGGGATTCAAAAAGCACCCAGTATGCTTCATTCACACATGCATGTTCACCCCTTCCTAATTACAGTGTCTCATGGTGACTTGCCTATGGGAACTTGTCCTACTGGCTGACAGGGGCTAGGCCTATACTCTCCAACATTTCTCTGATGAAAATAGGGACACCCTGTTCCATAATAATTATAATTATTTTATTATTTATACCCCACCCATCTGGCTGGGTTGTTCCAGTCACTCTGGATGGCTTCCAACATATAAAGCCCTCATTAAACATTTAAAAAACATCCCTATACAGGGCTACCTTCAGATGTATTCTAAAGATTGCACAGTGGTACCTTCTGGTTACAAATGCCGATAACCCGGAAGTAGCTGCTCCTGGTTGCGAACTTTGTCCCAGGATGCGAAAGGAAATCGCGTGCTGGCGGCAGGGGGAGGCCCCATTAGCAAAAGCACACCTCAGGTTAAGAACAGTTTCAGGTTAAGAACGGACCTCCAGAACGAATTAAGTTCTTAACCCGAGGTACCACTGTATAGTAACTTATATCCTTGGCTTGGCACATAACTCCATACCCTCCAACACTTCTCCAATGAAAATAGGGACATTCTAAGGTGAAGCGGGACATTCCGGGATCAAATCAGAAACCGGGACAGCTTCTATAAATCCCTGGAAAATAGGACACTTGGAGGGTCTGTAGGCCTGTACAGGGCTAAAGACCAATGGTGGTCAAGTATCTACTGTCTTCAGAAACATTTAAAGCAAGACGGAGATGGCAGAGTGCCTTGATCACTTCAGGAGCATCGCTTTTCCTCTCCTGGAAGGAGAAGCATGGTGTGGAGTTGGTGTTCTCTTTCCTAACAGGTGAAAGCCTCCCAGAGACGCTTTATGATCCATACATGTCTGAGACTCCCTCAGGGCCAATCACAGACCACATTAAAGACATGACTGGCCATGAGGGCTATGTTCTACTTCCATTGTCAGATTCATCATGCCTCCTAACACTAGTTGCTGGGAATCGCAGGTGAGTGGGGTGCTGTTTCGCTCATGTCTTGCTTGGGCTTCCTGCAGGTATCAGGGCAGCCACTGTGAGAACAGGTTGGTGAATGGGATGGGCCATTGTTTACACAGAGTCTATGCAGGTAAGCTCCTACGCAAGCATGATATCCAACATATATATGTCAGGCAATGGCCGGCCAATGTGGTCACAATCCTATAGCACATCCATGAACTGAATGTCTCCAAAAGACTTTTGTCAAGATCAGAGTCGTTTGGTGAAACAAAACAAAATACAGGATAATAAGGGGTTGTTGTTGTGTAGTCGTTTAGTCGTGTCCAACTCTTCGTGACCCCATGGACCAGAGCACGCCAGGCACTCCTGTCTTCCACTGCCTCCTGCAATTTGGTCAAACTCATGCTGGTAGCTTCGAGAACAACATATCTCGTCCAACCATCTCGTCCTCTGTCGTCCCCTTGTCCTTGCGCCCTCCATAATTCCCAACATCGGGGTCTTTTCCAGGGAGTCTTCTCTTCTCATGAGGTGGCCAAAGTATTGGAGCCTCAGCTTCACGATCTTTTCCTTCCAGTGAACACTCAGGGCTGATTTCCTTAAGAATGGAGAGGTTTGATCTTCTTGCAGTCCATGGGACTCTCAAGAGTCTCCTCCAGCACCATAATTCAAAAGCATCAATTCTTCAGCGATCAGCCTTCTTGATGGTCCAGCTCTCACTTCCATACATCACTACTGGGAAAACCATAGCTTTAACTATACGGACCTTTGTTGGCAAATAACAAGGGGTACCTGCACGAAAATGCTGCAATCTTGAATTCAGGTTCCCAGCAACTCCACTTCTCTTCTCCCTGGTTTTCTGACCCCACAGACTTCATTGACTTATTTTTTCTTTTTGTTTGCTTTTAAAAATCAACTGCTCAGGGAGCTTCTCTATTGAGCCATAAGGGAAATTTGATAAATTAGTGAGTGATTCCCAACCGATGCACTTCTTGCAACTGGATGCTACTTAAGAAGAAGGGAAGCGGGTGCATGATACAGAATCCTGCGTTTCATTCAATTACAATTAAAATGCTTAACCACCCGGTCTACATAATGAAAATTGGTGAGATGTTGGCAGCCCATAAAAACCACCTGCTCTGACAGGTGCTGACGCCAGATGTTCGTCTAAGTGCAATGGATAAAAATGATTATCCCAGTCCTTAATATACAGTGGGACAGTTAACATGGCGGCAGAGGGCAAGAAGAAGGGGAGTTACTACTGGTAATTAAGGACACCTGTGGCTTATATAAAACAACTGGCTTTAAAGTTCAGCCAAAAAACATTTGTCCTCTGGAGAAATGATTATAGGTGTCCAGATTGTGTTTGGTGAGCTGTTCATAGAATTGTAGAGTTGGAAGGGGTGAAGGCCACCTGGTGGTGGCCATCGTTACATCTTATGGAAACAAATTCCATAATTTAAGTATGTGCTGTGTGAAGTACTTTCTTTTGTCTGTCCTGGACCTTCCAGCATTCAGCTTCATAGTACAACCCTGAGTTCTAGTATTGTGGGAGATATACATTGACAGTGCAATCCTTAGTGATTTGTGGAGTTAAATGGTGGCCAATAATTCAGAGTCAGGGAAGGAGTGAAGTGGTAGATGAACTGTCAGGCTTTGGGAATCAGGACAAAGCGAAAAGAGTCACTTACCATTTAAGGTAAAGGGACCCCTGACCGTTAAGGTCCAGTCGCGGACAACTCTGGGGTTTGCGGTGCTCATCTCGCTCTATAGGCCGAGGGAGCCAGCGTTTGTCTGCAGACAGCTTCTGGGTCATGTGGCCAGCATGACTAAGCTGCTTCTGGCAAACCAGAGCAGCGCACGGAAATGCCGTTTACCTTCCCGCTGGAGCGGTACCTATTAATCTACTTGCACTTGACGTGCTTTTGAACTGCTAGGTTGGCAGGAGCTGGGACCGAGCAATGGGAGCTCACCCTGTCACGGGGATTTGAACCGCCAACCTTTTGATTGGCAAGCCCTAAGCTCAGTGGTTTAAACCACAGTGCCACCCACTTAAAGTCTTAAATGACTACAGCAAAAGAACAAAGCAGCCATTCTCGGAATGAAGGTGTTCCCAATTAAGGTTTCCACTCACTCCCCCCCCCATGTCACTTCCGCGCCTTGCAACCTGATCTCGCAACCACTGTGCTTCTAGTGCAGCCACCTTATCTGCTCTATGTGACCTTGGGCTGATAAGCTGGACACCTTCCAGTGAGAGAGAGTCTGTTAGCTCTCTCTCTTCCAGTTCTTCTCTACTTTGCTGTTCACTCCCCAGTTCATCCCAACTTTTGTCTTCAGAACTATGCCCCTCTGCAAACCACTGTTCCAAATCTATACTGCTTCTCCTCCTCCTGGGCAGCTTCAGGATCCTGGTCAGCAGCACGGGGAGGAGGAGGCTCCCACCATTCCTCATCAGAGCAATACTCCTCTGCCTGGTCTCTGACATGATCCCTTGAGGAGTTCCAATAGTAGTGTGGAACACTCAAAGGCCTCTGATTCACTCACCCATTTTTATGCTAAGTGTGTGAGCTGATTCCACTGAGAATCACTGCATTCGATGTGGAGTGTCATGAGAATGCATGCACTGTGGGGCCATTCAGAAATGCAAGTTATCTCTTCATATTGCACCCATCATGGGAAAACCAAGTACATCTGAACCCGGCTCAAAGCAGAAACCTCAAAGTGTCAGAACCAGTGGTGTAGCGTGCGGGGTGGGGCACAGGGGTCATTCCCCCTGGTGCAAAATTGTTAAGGGTGCAAAATTTCAACCCTGGTACTGCTTCAATACAGTTGTGCACTTCCATTGCTGGACTACATTGAAAATGTCTTCTCCATGAGAACCAGAAAGTGACCTCTCCAGAGAACAGAACGGCTTTTCTTATCTCTTACATCCTGCTAATTTTGCCATTCATTTTAATCATTTTCCCCGAAAAGCTGCTGCAACAGTACAACACAGTTCAGTGCTAAGAAAGCCTGAATCCCATTAAACTTCCCCAGAATGCATTAATGTGCAGTAAAAATGCTGTCTGGTGCTTTTGTTGCTGTTAACCATTACCTAGGTTTACACAACACAGCCATGAAATCAATGTAATAACTCCCCTGTTAGGAGAATCTCTCAGCTGTTTGCTGAAGATGTTCTCTTGTCAAAGTATATTCTCTGATGAACTGAATTCTCAAGTTGTGACTGAACTCTGCATACCAATTTAAACTGCCATTCCCTAATCTGTTTACAATTTCCTCCTCCTCACACTTCTCTCTCAGATGTGAAGATGAGAGGTCTTGGATCTATCCTCTGAAAACTAAGGAACAAGCATGGCGATCTTTGTCTTCTCTAGATTAGCCATCTTAGACCTCGAAACCTTTCCTATCCAAGTTATGTACTTCCTGTATAAAACAACTTCATTACTTTCTTACTCTAAAAGGATCTTTGAGTGCACAATTGCAATGGGTAAAGGCTAGTAAAGGTAAAGGGACCCCTGACCTTTAGGTCCAGTCGTGACCGACTCTGGGGTTGTGGCGCTCATCTCGCTTTATTGGCCGAGGGAGCCAGTGTACAGCTTCCGGGTCATGTGGCCAGCATGACTAAGCCGCTTCTGGCGAACCAGAGCAGTGCACGGAAATGCCGTTTACCTTCCCGCTGGAGTGGTACCTATTTCTCTACTTGCACTTTGACGTGCTTTCGAACTGCTAGGTGGGCAGGAGCAGGGACTGAGCAAAGGGAGCTCACCCCGTCGCGGGGATTCGAACCGCGACCTTCTGATCGGCAAGTCCTAGGCCCTGTGGTTTAACCCACAGCGCCACCCGGGTAAATGCTACCCTCTAGCAAAATTCGCAAGCCGCACTCTACATACCAAAGTTTCAACAGGTTTCTTCCTACCTTTCGATTTCCTTTCATAGAAACTTCTGCCGCGATGTGGGGCAGTGTCTGTGTACAGACTTTCGAGATCTTCTTGCCACGTGTCTGGGTTAAAGTGCTTGAGGAGTTCCTCCACGGTGTCAAATCCAGCAACGGTTTGATCCAGAGCTTCTGCCGTAAGAGTAGCGTCGGTCACTGACGGAGAGTGATAGGAAACGCCCTAAGAGTGACATACAGTGCGGTGTACTTTGAAAAACACAGGTAGAAAGTGACAAACATCTCAAATAAAACTTTTCCCCAGATCTGGTTCATAGAATGTATTCATACAGGGCTAATATTATGCATTGCAAAAAACAAGGACTGCATCCTCAATATACAGTGGTGCCCCGCAAGACGAACGCCTCGCAAAACGAAAAACTCGCAAGACGAAAGAGTTTTCCGTTTTTGAGTCGTTCCGCAAGACGAATTTCCCTATGGGCTTGCTTCGCCCCCCCTCCGGCCTTCAGAAGAGGTCCAGGAAGGCCGGCGGGGGCCGAAAGGCTTTCCTTTAGCTGACAATGTTTGCATGTGTTATTTAAGTAGTGCCATTGGTGTGTGCATGGCACTTTACAAAGTAAAAGAGGATAAGTCCCTGCCCAACATTTGACAACAACATTTGATCGGAGATAAAGGGCAGGAAATGGACACTGGGGTAAACAGAAGACTACTTTGACTATTTCAACTTCACACAGTTAGGTCTGGTTATAGTGGGGTGAGGGAATTAAAGGGTTGTACCAATGTCTTCGAATCCCCGCGGCGGGGTGAGCTCCCGTCGTTCGGTCCCAGCTCCTGCCCACCTAGCAGTTCGAAAGCACCCTTAAGTGCAAGTTGATAAATAGGTACCGCTTTATAGGGAGGGTAAACGACGTTCCGTGTGCTGCGCTGGCTCACCAGAGCAGCTTCGTCACACTGGCCACATGACCTGGAAGTGTCTCCGGACAGCGCTGGCCCCCGGCCTCTTAAGCGAGATGGGTGCGCAACCCCAGAGTCGGTCACGACTGGCCCGTACGGGCAGGGGTACCTTTACCTTTACCAATGTCTTCATGGACAAAATGAGTTTTGAAGAGGGATTTGAAGTAAGCGAGAGAGATCTCCAGGGTTTCAGACAGGGACTAAAGTAGAGTTGACGGGGAATCGAACCTGAGACCTTCTGCCATGGCCCTATCATACAATGCTGCTTTTCTTTTATATAAAATTTTTACCTTTGAAAGGATAGATTCCCCCCCCCCCCATTTCAGTTAAAAAGGTAAAGGGACCCCTGACCATTAGGTCCAGTCGTGACCGACTCTGGGGTTGTGGCACTCATCTCACTTTATTGGCCTAGGGAGCCGGCGTACAGCTTCCGGGTCATGTGGCCAGCATGACTAAGCCACTTCTGGCGAACCAGAGCAGCGCAGGGAAACGCCGTTTACCTTCCCACCGGAGTGGTGCCTATTTATCTACTTGCACTTTGATGTGCTTTCTAACTGCTGGGTTGGCAGGAGTAGGGACCGAGCAACGGGAGCTCACCCTGTCGCGGGGATTCGAACCGCCGACCTTCTGATCAGCAAGTCCTAGGCTCTGTGGTTTAACCCACAGTGCCACCCGCGTCCCTCCCATTTCAATTACTATGCAGCAAAAGGAAAGCTCAGCTCTCCTGAAAGAGAAGGACAAGTCAAGAGGACAATCACAGACCCTACGATAACCTGCTGGCCCTGGCAGATGCATAGGAAAAACAAATGAATAAGTGGCAGCCTAACAAACTTGAGCTTGTTCTGCAAAGAGGGAATTACCAGTTTCAGGAGAAAAAGCTTTTTGCCAAGCGTATTGTGACTCGAGCGTTGCATCCAGAGAAGAAGACAAAGGAGAACTGTTTTAATGGGACAAGGTTAAGACTTGCCAGGCTATTGACCTCACGGTTGCTATTCAGCAACTTTCAATAGGTTGCTCCTCTGTAGCAAACATTGGCAGCTCCCTTCTAATGAGTGCCAAGCCATTGTGTGATGTTCTTATTCTCCAGAGAGATAAAAACTAATTCAGAATGAACTTGCACATGTCCATCGGTATGTATCTAGCAAAGAGATTCAGCCAAGTTTTAAAAAGGTACAGAAAACCACCCAGAGATGCATATGTTACTGCATAGGTAAATAGCTTGCTGTTTCGTTTTGTTTTTAATTAATGCGTATATAAATTTTGCTAAATAAAATCAGTTATTCAGATTTTCCAATGTATCCTTATGTGGTGGTGATACATGAGGGAAAGAAAATAAAAACATGATCATTCCATGGGCTTCCATGCAAAAAAACACATGCAAAAAAATAAATAAATTAGGGGGGGGGAAATCTGAATTAAATTCTTTCTCTAAAATGCGCATTTCACATTTAACTTACCAAGACGGGGCTTGTGACTGATTCCCAGTTGGTTTCAGCTGCAGCAGGCTGGAGATCATCCTGAAGATCAAACAGAAAAATAAAGGACGGGAAGGGGCAGGTATTAGAGTCACAACATTATTGTACATGTCTTTTTATAAAAATATATATACAAAGGATGAACTATATGGTCGCTAGGCATTTCAATTTGTAACACAAGACTTTGCTCTGTTCTTTTCCAATTCTGAAAACACCGGGTTGCATCTAATATAAGGCAAATTAAAGTCACGTAGCAGTATACTTGTTCCACTTGTGAAATGTTTTGCACCAGCAGAACGCTGCTGCATGAGAGAACACATAGGCAGGTTGCTGGTTAACTTCTTTGCACAACAGAGCATGCAATCTGTTGCACAACCAGTTTCCACTAGTGCAACTGCTGCATAGGATTCCTCTGTTGTTTAGCATTAAAAGTCACCTGTCTGCTAGCAGAAGAGCCCTTGCTCTTTGTGGACAAATATTTGTCTAGTGGACAAAGATAGTTGGATCCAGCCTAATAAAACAATTTCTGTAGATCTGCAATCGATATTCCATAGATGATTCGGTTATAACTCAGAGAAATTCTTTGTAAACAAAAATGTCTTCAGCAGGTGCCTAAACATCATGAAGCACCTTTTTTATTTCAGCTGGTAATTTTCACTGTCGGTCTTCCTGCCTCCCATTCCCAAAGGGACTTAGCCACCCCTGCATTTAAATATATGTTTGTTTAAAAAAGTTTTTATTGAATTTTACGATTTAATATTCAACCACATGACATAATATAACATTTATCATATAACCCTGCCTCCCCACGACTTCCATCAGCTTCCCCTTCTGGTTCTTAAAATATTTACTCCTTCTGCTTAATTGTTGTCTTATCTTTATGATCATACATCTAAATGCTCTTATTTTCTTATCAATTTTACACCAAATTTTCTTTCATAGTTACCTCTTACACTCAATTACATTTCATATTATTGTTTCTTAACCTTTGAACTTGTTTTCTTAGTTGTAAATGTTTAATCAAACCCTGCTAGTGAGTCCATTTCTTTACAGTATGCTCATTGTCATTGTTTCTGATTCTTAATGTAAAGGGATCCCTGACTGTTGAGTTGCGAATGACTCTGGGGTTGCGGCACTCATCTCGCTTTACAGGCTGAGGGAGCTGGCATTTGTCCGCAGACAGTTTTCTGGGTCATGTGGCCAGCATGACTAAGACACTTCTGACACAACGGAACACCGACATCAGAGCAGCGCACAGAAACACTGTTTAGCTTCCCACCAGAGTGGTACCTATTAATCTACTTGCACTTTTAGTGTGCTTTCGAACTGCTAGATTGGCAGGAGCTGGGACCGAGCAACAGGAGTTCACCCTGTCACGGGGATTCGAACCGCCAACCTTTTGATTGGGAAGCCCAAAGGCTCAGTGGTTTAGACCACAGCGCCACCCGTGTCCCTGATTCTTCCTGTAAGTTTCGCCATTTCTGCATATTCCATAAGTTTGGCTTGCCATTCTTTTTTCATTGGTATCTTGTCATCTTTCCATTTTTGGGCTGGGAGAGGCAGCTAAATATATGTTTTTAAACACATTTTCGACCACAAAACTCATTTCTGAATGCATATTCTCTCAGCATGGCCTTTTCTAAAAAGGATCCACTCTCAAAATGCATATATTATTATATAACATAGAATAGCACCAGAACATCCTGAAAACAGAAAAGCTGGTGGATAGCTAAATTCCAGTTAGCTGGAGGTTGGGAATCAGGTCACTTCATTTTGGAATCCAATCAAATTCCTCACCGATCCCTATAAGAAACCATCTTTTGGAATGGAGGAAATTGCGAAAAGTAGTTTGCAGAGTGGCATGAGGGGACCTGTGGCTCAGGTGTAACCTTTGAAAATCAATGAGTTCCTCTCCCTCTGAAGACACAATGCCTGAGCTGAGCCTTAAATAACCAGGAACCACAGAGAAAGAGAGAGGATGTGTGGCTGCCTGACACAATACATCTCTAGCTATAATTCCATTATTGGTGATGACTATGTTAATAACAGGGCACAATGATGTAGTGGGTGCCTCCTGATCCATTCTGACATAGTCACTTGTTATAATAGGAGAGAGAGTATGATAGTCCAAACTCTGTCAAAGAAACATGAAGGTTTTCAGCTGTAATTACAGTCAAGGTCAGTCTGAGCCTGGTTTGTCTATTTATGAAAAGTGAAAGGTGCAAAATGGCTTTAAGTAGCAGGCGAGTTTGGTCTGCACCTCTCTCGTTCCTTGCTATTATGTTAGCAGGAGAAGGATGTCCAAATGCGTGGCTTGGGGACGATTCAAACTATGGGAAGCCAGCGTAATTTACGAGGGCTTAAATTAAGCTGTCATAATGTACACCACATCCAAACATTCAGGAACAGAGCTGCTGCTGCCCGAGACTGGCAGAGGGAAAGCAAGCTTTTCAAAATGGAGTTTACTTAAGTCACTGCTTTTACTGGTGGAAGTTCCACCTGGTTGCCGGGTCACGTGACCGATAGGAACAGACAGAGTACTCTGTGAGTACCCCTGCTTGTCCCTGCCACTGCTCCAGAATATCTCTTTTCCAGGACTTAAGACAACCAGGGGCAGAGGAAGGGGGTGTGGTGGGGGGTGGGCCACCCTGGTGTCACCACTGGGGGGGTGTGACAAAATGCCGGGTGGCACTCACCGTGGGGCCTGCAGTGCGCCCGAGCCACGTGTCACTCCGGGGAGTGACGTGATGGTTTGGGTGCTCGCAGGCTCCGGGCTGCCCCAAATGGTCCGCCTGCCACCTCCCCCTCAGCTGTAGGGCGGCTGAGTGGGAGGAGGCAGGCAGAATCCTCAGAGGCCCCGCGGAGTGTCCTGCCCCGGCTCACCCAGCCCCATGGGCGGCTGGCCCCACCCCCCGTGGGCAGCTGGCCCTGCTCCTGGGCGCAGGGCACACACGCCGCCCCAGGCTCCCAATCAGCTTGCTCCGCTGCTGTAGGCAACATAAGATCTGCTGGTCTCAGCTGAGCCCCAGCTGAGCCATGATGAGAGAGTTGTGCCAGGGTATCTCTGGCTCAATTCAGAAGGTGTGGCTTGCACCTGCATAGCCCAGCTGCACCAGCAATTCATAGAATTGTAGAGTTGGATGGGGCTGTCAGGAGCTTTTCCTACTCTCGAGTAGGACCCTGGTAGAGACACATGCCCAACTGGCATGATCTCTCCCTCCTGGTCGTTCATTCGGGCGATTCAAAAGCTTTCTTCAGCCCAAACATCACAGCGACCGATGCCAACAGACATTGGCACACTCAGGGATCCGCAGAGTCTTCACAGCTTTGCATGACAGACCTCAGCAACTCAGCATTTTGGCTAATCTACTTTATTTACATATAAAACACACATGGAGCACTGCAACATGGTTCCCTCTCTCTCTAGCATCAGACAGCAAAAAGAAAAAGAACAAAGGACATTCCCACTTCACGTAACACAATAACACAAACATCCTGTCTCCGTCACTGCCCACTCTGTGGAGTCAAAACATACACCGTCATGTGACAGACAACAATCCCATGACTGCAATCACAGAGCAGGAATTCTAACAGGTGTCACAAGGGTCAACTAGCCCAACTCCCTGCAATGCAGGAATCTTTTGGTGATCTAACCCATGACCCTGAGATTCAGAGTCTCGTGCTTTACTGAGCCAGAGACCTATTGGATCCTTATTTAGCCAGGTAGATCTTGGGCTTGGATTGCTTCCTTATTTATGAAACTGTGCAGTGGGTAAAGAGGGAAGAATTATTAACTTTCCTTTAAAAGAAAAATAAAAGGAAGCAGGTAGCATCTACTGTAATGGGTATGTTTCAAGTTTAAGACAGGTAGGGTCATAGAGAAGGATGGGGGAGAGACCTGATTCTGTTTGCATTTAAAGGCGAACCTACTAAATCTGCACTTTCTGAAATGATGCATGAAGCAAAACACAGCCACCCTTTTCAATTCACATTTACCCAATTTTTTAAGTGCAGTTTTTCAATCAAACAATGCTCGCAAATGTGAGGGTAAATGGTGCATGAAAATGAACTTAATCATGAAAAGAACACACAAAACGTGTTGTATGGAGGGAAAAGTGCTCACAAAAACGTATGCATTAGTCAAAAACCGAATGAAAAATGTGTTGAATAGGACATAGCTGCACTAAAATGTTGATGAATTTCCTTAAGTTTTTTAAAAATAAAAAATAACACATATTGCTATGGAAATGTGGAGAACTGAATTAATGACTGCAAGAACTGAAACTGATGGATCCTTCCACCCCTATTCATAGGTGAGTGGTAGGGGGAATCGTGACAGTTTCCCCAATCTTAAATTCAGTTCTTCACATTAGTTTGCATTTATTTTAATTTTAAAAACTGACTTTCTCCTAAGATACACATTTTGTATGCAATTTGGACTCTTTTACACATTTTTGCAAAGCTAATTCCCCCAACGATATGCATTTTTTGCATCTTATTTTTTTACTAACATATTCAGTTTTAGGCAGACTTTACCCTACTACATGCATATATATTTTTGTACACATTGCCCGTGTAATGGGCTCCATGGCAAAATTCAGAGGAGCACGAATTTCATAGGATGGCTATGTTTTGGTCCACAAATTGTAAATTACTTAAGTTTTAAACGTGAACTAAATTGCATCCCTCCCCATATGCAGAGAATGTGTAGCTCTGCCCTTTGATTCACCCTTTCCTCTTGGCTCTGAGAATCGCACCAATGTAAAATCCAGTGCCCTTGGGAGGGCTTTGGTGAACTTCTGCCATACTGACTGGCAGATTTCAGCATGAGCCTCATTGGTAATACAAGAAAATGCCTTGAGTGAAATTGCAAAAAAAGAAAAAAAGAGAGAGACTAGTCTCTCCTGACTACAGCAGAGCAGAAAAACAGCCCTTCAGAATTTACGGGATGTTAATAACTGAAGGGTGGGTGAAGCAATGTGGTCATTCCCAAATCCTTCCTCCCTTGACATTGAGGGGCGACATTTTGCAGCTGACCTGCA